CATCATTCGGAAGTCCTGAACGCGTTCAGTTCCAACGTAGAAAGCGTGTAAGCTATTCTAGACGGTTCGGCTCGCGTAGCCCCACCAGCCCATCCACAAACGATGCCAAGACGAGTTGTCCAGATCGGTGCTAGCAGCTAGAAAACGCATCGTCTCGTCATGTCGCTTCTTTTTCAAAGCGGAGTTGTTCGTGGGCAATTCCTTGACTGCGATGGCCCCGTGGAGAGCTTGCGTTGGCCCCGCCCCCGCGCAGGTGGCATTGAAGAAGCAGCGGCTGGTCGAGGCGCAGGACATTGAGGCTGGCATGCCCATGCGGGGCGAAGAGAAAGAGGAGGAGGAGGAGGAGGAGGAGGAGGCGGATGAGGATTTTGAACAGGAACCGGCGGAGGGGGAAGGGAGGAACGAGGAGGGATCAGGACGGGCGAAGGGTTGTGTATGGTAGGATTGTGTTGGAGGTCCAACACGGACCGCAGCCATGAAACAAACCCCGAGCACCTACGGTTTTGAAGGCCTGAGTGGTCTTGCGGGTCATCCTTCTCCTCCTCCTCCTCCTCCTCCTCATCCTCATCCTCATCCTCCTCCTCCTCCTCCTCCTCCTCCTCCTCATCCTCCTCCTCCTCCTCCTCATCATCATCATCATCATCATCATCATCATTCTCCTCCTCGTCCTCCTCCTCCTCCTCCTCCTCCTCCTCCTCCTCCCCCTTCTCATCCTCATCCCCTGTGTCCTTTTCCTCTTCCTCCTCTTCCTCCTCCTCCTCCTCCTCCTCTTCGGTATCACTGTCCCCGTTACCATCCACGACACTTTATTGTCTCCGTTCATGTTTTTTGTTGTGATCCTCACGCTTATCCTTCGCATACATGTCCTCTTCATCATCATCATCACCACCACCAGCATCATCATCATCACCACCGTCGTCAGCGTCAGCAGCATCACTACCATCATCATCATCAGCAGCAGCATCAGCAGCATTATCATCATCAGCATCATCCTCATCAGCATCAGCATCATCGGCTTTAGCATCAGCATCACCATCACCATCATCATCATCATCAGCAGCAGCAGCATCAGCATCACCATCATCATCATTATTATCAGCAGCAGCATCATCATCTTCGTCATCTTCATCGCCATCGGCATCGTCGTCATCGTCACCGCTTAATGATCCTCATCAGCATCATCATCACCATCATCATCCTCATCCGCACCAGGGATCACCCGTTAACACTGGAACGATACAGAGAAGATTTGCATGGCCCCTGCGCAAGGGTGACACGCACAAATCGAGAAGAGCATACCATCATCAGCCGAGCCGTCAACATCATCATCATCATCATCATCATCATCATCATCATCATCAACATCATCATCATCATAATCATCAGCAGCATCCTTTTCATCAGCATCAGCATCATCATCGCCATCATGAGCATCAACATCATAATCATCATCAGCATCAGCATCAGCATCAGCATCATCACCAGCATCATCATCAGCATTATCACTATCAGCATCATCATCAGCAGCATCAGCGTCATCAGTATCTTCAGCTTCACTCCGTCATCCCTGTCCTCCAGCCCCGGGGCATCGAAGACGCCTACCACGAACAAATGTTGTCCCCTGCCTTTTGGAAGCGCCTTTTTGGGCTAAACGTTGGGCCAACGTTTGGCCAAGTTATTGGACTATGTGTTACTCCAGCCGTTGTGGAAACCACTGAGGAAACGCTTCGGAGAGAAAGATCGATAGCAGGAGGAGGGGGAGGGGGAGGAGGAGGAGGAGGAGGAGGAGGAGGAGGAGGAGGAGGAGGAGGAGGAGGAGGAGGAGGAGGAGGAGGAGGAGTAGGGGAGAGGGAGGAGAGGGAGGATACGGGGGAGCCCTCTAGGGGCCTCTAAGGGGCATCCTGGCCTTCGGGGGCCGTCTCGGGGGCCTCTCTGGGTTGGCTTAGGGCCTTCTTGGGACGCTTTAGGGCCGACTTGGGGGTCTCTGGGGGCCGTATTGGGGCCGTCATGGGATCGTCTTAGCCCGTCTTGGGGCTCTCTTTTGGGCTTCTGGAGCCGTCTTGGGGCCATATCGTTGATATCCGGGGCCGTCTTCGGCTGTCGGAAGCCCGAAATGGGGAGAACATTAAAATCATTGAAACACACCCAGGGAGTCAATGATTTGGGGCATCCTGAGGGCCTTCTGGAGGTCATCTGGGAGCAACGTGGAGCGTCTCAGGGACCTCGTGGGCGGTCTCGAGACAATGCTGGGCCGTCTTGGCGCAGCCGATCCAACTCGATCTCGACTCCGTGACAATGCCACCTGGTCCGACGCGCGTTCTGGGCCGATTCGCCTTCCCGATTTGATGTTGACGGGTCCTTGCCCCCAGCATTGCCGCCTCGCTCGGCGATCGAGGCGGCAGTGTTGCCCATTGCTGCGCGCAACGTTTGCGTATTCTCAGGCGGGCTTGAATGCTCTTCGCGTTGGCGGCCCAGGACTCGGACAACACGCGCCGTCGGCTGGTGGAGGGGAGCCCCCAGGGTCGAGGCAGCGAGGACCACCCAGCCCCCTTCGCAGGCCTAGAGGTTGACACCAACACCAATTTCGGCGGTGTGCCTCCACCGAGTGAAGAAGATCCCGATCTTGGCGATGGTGGTAATATTATGGCTTCCAAGGTGGCCGAATTTAGGATCATCTTCCCCCTGTGGAGGCAAACCCCTGTGTTGGTGTTGGAGCCCATTTCCAGGCCTCCAACCCCTGGACCAGGCCGCGCCTCCCTGTGCCCCACGGTGGCGTGCTCAGGGGCAACGATAGGGGGGGACAGGCATAGGGGGGGATGCAGCGACCCCCAAGCGCCCATTGATCGGCGACAGGGGCCCGACGGCCCCAGCCCGCCCAGGAAGGTGCGGATTCACCATCGGGGCCCTATCGCCGATCCATCGACGATGTATCGCCGATTCCAGGTCGATGCATCCCCCCTTATACCCATCCCCCCCTACACGCTTGTCGTTGGAAGTCGGTATTTTTGGATTCCCAGATCCCAATCTATTTCAAGCGCCTTCCTACTTCAAGAATCGACATGCTTTGGCTGTGTTTTGTTATTCCCTGGGAGGACCTGGACCCAGTCTACCACATCCGCCTTCCTACTTCATGTTTCTACCTACAGTCCAGTTGTTTTAAATACATGCTCCGCGTGCGGACCATGTATTGAAAATAAAGGGTTGATTAATGAATACAAGGATGAGTTTCATACATCAATCATGTATTACAATTCCGATGTGTTAAAAAACCCTATGTTTTAGAACCTGCCCTGTACTTCTTCCGGCCGACGTGCATCGTTGCCCCACGGTGGCGTGCGGGAGGTGGCTCGCTGCTGGGCCGCGCACATGCCGCCGGTCATGATTTGCACCCCCCCCTCTTGGACACCCCCCTCTTGGCCGCTCCCGAGTTTGAGACACGTTCCCTTCCCTCCATGGTCTGGACGCCCGAAATGGGTACGGAAAGAATGGGCACAAGGCCCAACAGCAGTTCTTGCTCATTTTGAGCAGGACTCGCTGTCGGTGTCGCCGCGGCCTGTGTACATTTGAGACAGAAGGCCGCCTGCCCAACAGCGGCCGCTGTTGGTTTGGGACAGCATTTGTGAATGGGCATTGTGCCCATTTTTTCCGTACCCATTTCGGGCGTCCAAGCATGGGGTCTTTGTGCCACCCCTGGGGAGGTGGGGGGTACAATGCCCAACAGCATTGCGCGAGGTGGCCCCGCTGCAGGGTCGGCACCTCGCTAGCGGTCGCCCCTCCGCTCCCGCGCCCGGGCCGCCGCGGCAGGGCCCCGCCGTGCCCCCTTTGCGGCGGGGCGCCGCGCGTGGCCGTGCTCGCGCGCGTCGCTGCGCCGAGGAATCGCCGGCGCGCGGGAGCGGCCCTGCGGGGTGGCCTCCTCCTCCTCCTCCTCCTCCTCCTCCTCCTCCTCCTCCTCCTCCTCCCCCTCCTCCCCTCCTCCTCCTCCCTCCTCCCCCCTCCCCCTCCTCCCTCCTCCCTCCTCCCTCCTCCCTCCCTCCTCCCTCCTCCTCCCCTCTCCCTCCCTCCTCCTCCTCCCCCCTCCCCCCTCCTCCCTCCTCCCTCCTCCCTCCTTCCTTCCTTCCTTCTCTCCTCCTCCTCCTCCCTCCTCCTCCTCCGCCTCCTCCTCCTCCCTCCCTCCTCCTCCTCCTCCTCCTCCTCCTCCTCCTCCTCCTCCTCCGCGTCTGCGCGCCCCCCGATCTTGGCCGCTCGCCCTCGCCCCCCGCGCTCTCGCTGTGGCCCGCTCCCCTTCGCGGGGCCCTCGACCGCATTGAGAAAATCAAGACGGAGGTTTTTCGCCACTTTCGGCCTCGAGGGGCCCTCGCCGGGCCCCGCCGTGCCCCGCCGTGCCCCCCGCGGCGGGGCGCCGCGCGTGGCCGTGTGCGCGAGTCGCTGCGCCGAGGAGTCGGCGGCGCGCGGGAGCGGCCCTGCGGGGGGGCCTCGGGCGCGGGCGCACGCCAAGAGAGCCAGCGCATTGAAAAAATCAAGGCGGAGGTTTTTCGCCATTTTCGGCCTCGAGGGGCCCTCGCCGGGCCCCGGGGCCGTCAAGAAACGACTCGGGAGGAAGAACCGGTCCTGGGGAAGGGGTCGAGACTTCTGGGGACCGCGTAGTGACAAAAATCACGACATCGGATCTCTGGGTATACATAACCACCGCCTGGAGCATCGATTTTCGGGGACCTCGGCAGGCGGTGGATATGGACATATTCGGGCCCCCGGGGGCCAAAATATATCCATGGCGCCCGCCTGGGCACCAGGACGTCGCTTCCCAGGCGGTGGACATGGATAGATCCCCGCCTCGCACAGCCAGAGCCCGGAGCGACGATTCGATGCGGGACGATTCGCGGGCGCTCCGATCCGCTTCCGATCCGATCCGGTGTCGCGATTGGGTCCAGGTGGGGACGTCAGGCCTGGCCTCTCAGAAAGCTCAGGAGGTCTGGCAGGGAGGCTTCTGAGAGGCCCCGCCGCCTTCCCCTCGCCGCACTGCCGAATCAGGGACTGGGGTTTCCCGAAGGGTCGTACTTCTTCCCCGGGCGCGTCCGCTTCCAGGTCGCCGCAGGAGTTGGCAGGGGGAGTTGGTAACGGGATCTGTTAGCAGGGCCCATCACACCAGGAGCGCGCTGGCGCGCTCGCGAGACCCCGCCCCCCCTCTCTCTCTTATCCGCTGCTGCGGGGATCTACGCGTGTCCCCCGCAGGGTACGAGAAGTGTTTCAGACGTCTTCCGTATGACCTCTTGGAGTCCTGCCTTTCGGGAGAGCTCCAGA